ACATAAAATGAAAATCACTGAACATATTAAGTGCTTTGAAATCTTTGTTAAATTCCAGCATCCCATGATCACAGAATTTACAAGCAAAAGCTTTTTAGCTTTAACATGAGAAATAAAAATAACTTTTTTTCTTTGCTTTTCATATGGTTTATATATATATAATTTTTTAATTTTTAATTTATTTTATTTTATTTTTTATTTTTGGCTGTGTTGGGTCTCCGTTGCTGTGCGTGGGCTTTCTCTAGTTGCGGTGAGCCAGGGCTTCTCTTCGTTGCGGTGTGTGGGCTTCTCATTGTCGTGGCTTCTCTTGTTGCAGAGCATGGGCTCTAGGCGTGCAGACTTCAGTAGTTGTGGCATGTGGGCTCAATAGTTGTGGCTTGCGGGCTCTGGAGCTCAGGCTCAGTAGTTGTGGCACACGGGCTTAGTTGCTCCGCGGCATGTGGGATCTTCCTGGGCCAGGGCTCGAACCCGTGTCCCTTGCATTGGCAGGTGGATTCTTAACCACTGTGCCACCATGGAAGCCTCTATATTTCCGTTTTAAGGATTTTTGGCCATAGTTGCCCCTGCTCCAATTTTAGGGATTTTTATTAAAATTTTTTTCACTTGTACACAATTTGTTCATCTGATAGAATCAGTAGGAGTCCAGTAATAAGTTACTCTGGTTGTGGAACCATATTTTCCATTACGCTTCCCACTTTTCATCAAACATTTCTTTCTCTCTTTTCTCCTGTTAAGCCAAAATGATCAGGAACCAAAAAATGAAATACATGTAGAACAAAAAATCATTTTCTTATTCTGGTCCAATTTTTACTTTGACTTGGTGTCCTATTTTCCCCCTTCTGGAGCATGATAGAGATTTAAGTGTTTCAGGGGAGGAGATGGGAGACTGTGCCTTCTGTATTGTTGCATGGATGTACGTGGGGTCATTGTAACAAGAAATAAGATGTGATTTTTTTTTTTTTTTTGGTGGTACGCGGGCCTCTCACTGTTGTGGCCTCTCCCGTTGCGGAGCACAGGCTGCAGACGTGCAGGCTCAGCGGCCATGGCTTATGGGCCTAGCCGCTCTGCGGCATGTGGGACCTTCCTGGACCGGGGCACGAACCCATGTCCCCTGCATCGGCAGGCGGACTCTCAACCACTGTGCCACCAGGGAAGCCCTAAGATGTGATTTTAAATGAAATGTTTTAATATCCCCACTATTACCCACAGCTATAAAATACTATCTATGGTCCATGGCTTCTAGCATTTCTTATATATAAAGATAGCTTTTGTTTGTATTTATTCCACTAAAAAGGAAGAATTATTTAGAAATCTTAAAAGTCAATGTAATGTGTATCAATTGATGCATTACAACTTTTTAGCTTGTAGGTGCTTTGTTCCAAGGCCAGGATGTATATTCTGCTATATTGTTATCATTTTTACTGAGTGAGGAAATGTTTGGTCATTAAGGGGGAAGGAATATCTGTGGACAAAACTGCTGCTTTCCCTGACCCCAAAGCTCAGTTTTGAATATTAGTCTTCAAAGCCATTTTTACTTCCAGTGTTCAGTCTTAATTAAAAGCCACATACACAGTTCTGTAATCCAATCTGCAGATCCAAAAGGGGAATTCATACAAGAGAAAATTAACTTACTATTATTAAAAGAACACTGCCTCTCTAATGGATATAATAGAGTAACAGTTCTCCTCAGGCTCAGTGGCAGTTCCTTATATAATAACTAAAATATTAGCACATTTAAATTGATTTTTCATGCCTGCAAATAATGATCAAGCTTATTTTAAAAACATACTTAATTTGACTTAGATGATAAGGATATTTGCTCAGAAAGAGACATTCTGGGCTGTTATTTTCTACTGGCAAGCATCAGAGCTGGAAGTTGAGTGGTTTTGATTTTGTTAATGATGATTGAATTTATTTTTATTTTATTAACAATAGGAACTCTGTCCCCAGGACTACTCTGTTTTAGGTAAATTTATGGCACATGATTTCCTTATTAAATAACATTTCTTTTAATTCATTTATCTTTATAAGAGTGTTTCAAGAAGATCGACTATGTTCTTTCCAAAAGGTACCTAGTTCTTGATGTTCTGTTTGTCATAATTGTGCATAGCAGCTGAGCCTGTTCTTGGTGTGTGTGTAGGGGAACCCTTGAATTCTCCCATAAAATGTAGGCCTGTCTCCTGCTGGCATCAAGAGAGCAGATTGGGATAACCCCATGGCAAGAAGGGTATGTCCTTTCAAAGAGTCCTGTTCCAAAGTACTTCTGTGCTTCACATGAGGCAGTATTATATGTGGCTGCCAGTTGACTATCTTTTTATGAATCATATCTCCTAAACCTCTGTAGTGAGCATGATGGGAAAATATCTTTATGGAAACAAATATGTGAGATAAATTAAGTTAAAAAAAGGCACGTAGCAAATTTAACTAGAAAATGAACGTAAAAACTGGCCTGCAGGATTAAAATTCTCATGGGCTCACAGCTCCACACAAAGAACAGTGTTCTGGCTGATGTCATTGGTTTGTACAATATTACAGAATTGTTTCCAATGTGTTATCTTCTTGTGCCCCATGGCTTGTATTGCAATATTTGTAGTTGAAATACATTTCATGTTATATTACACATAAATTTGTTATTGGCATGTATGTGTGATATACATATACATACATATAAATGTAAATAAAATGTTATATATGAAATGAATTTCATGCTATGTTCTTTCATGATAACTTCAACTTGCTTATTATTTCTGTCTTGTTCTCTTATTTGTTGGTCCTATACAGCTTTCTTTTTCTTTTTTTTGCATTTCCAATTTTTCACTTTTTTCAATATTATCTGTCTTGACAATTGAGAAGTTTTATTTTGTTCTTATCTTTCAGTCATTTGTCCATTTCATCAACATTTCTTCTCTGGGTTCTCAGAGTGCTTAGACACCATGAGAAAACAACTTCTATGAGTTTAAGTAATTACAGTCAGAATGAATGGGTTTTTGTGATACGTAAGTGTTCAGAGATGCATAATATTGGTTGCACACACTCTGTAAAGCTCAATATGTAAATGATACATGCATATACATTCTAAATCTGTTACAATGATTAAGAAAATAAGCTCTCACATAGATTTCTTAAATCACTGTCAGTCATTTATTTTTCAGGGTCCACATTGATACATATGCAAATTGTGTCAAGTAATCACAGGACACTAACAAGCTTCATTGACTAGGATGGTTCCAAGAAGACCACACCCATTGAAAGTTTGGGGCCAGTGTGTCCAGTCTACACAGATAGTGTCTCTCCTTTTGCTTTTTCTCTGTTTCCTGTCCTTTGTTTTATGCCTCCCTTCTATAAAGTATTTTATGTCTTATAGTGGAAATACATATATATATATATATATATATACAGATTTTAAAGAGATAAATGAGATTTAGGAAACCTTGGAAGGTTGGTGGTGCTCATAAATCACGGGGGTCTGGGGTGAGTGCTATTTGTAGTCAGTGGCTCTCAAACTTCAGCAGCTTCTGAATCACCCAGAGAGCTTGTTAAAACAGGTTGCTTGGCTCAGCCCCAGAGCTTCTGATTCTGTAGGACTGGGATGGGGCTTGAAAATGTGAGTTTCTAACAGGTTCTCAGGTGAAACTGATGCTGTTGGTGGGGGACTGCACTTTGAGAACCACTGATCTTGGATCGCCTTTTCATGTGTTTGGGATGAGGAAACTGAGAATCAGAGAGGGGAAGGGCCTGCCCAAATTTTGCAATGGTAGGGAGTTGCATCTTCACTAGAATTAGAACTGGATCTTCTGGCTCTGGCCCTGTAATGTTCTCCTGGAGTCTGTTCTTTGATTGACCAGAGAAGACAAAGCTGCTTCCTGACTATCTGAAGAGAATGTGGGAAACCAGATCGGCCACCTCTCCCAGATTCCAGTCTATGGGCAACGCTGGTGGAGAGAGAGGGCTTTAGTGCTCGTACTGCTGCCTAACTTACCCAAATAAATTTCATTCTCTTTATTTCCATGTCCAGTTTAATATTATAATTATTCATGGAACATTTGTTGATTTGTGATCATTTAGAAATTAATACTAATGTCATCATTTTTGAAACAGGGTCTGTTAAACTCAGTTCTATAATATGTCAAGAAAAAGCAAGCTAAAGACAGCATAGGCTACAAGAATAACTGTGGAAAAAATAGAAATGGTTGAATTCTTTACTTGAATCTAAGGTTTTGCTTTTAGTTCAATAAAATTTCAGTAAAATATTATTTCACTAAACAAGTTTTCTGCAATATCCTGTAGCATACATTTTCATGGTGGGAAATAACTTATTGTTGGGAAGTTCAAATTAAAGAATAAATGATTTGATAATTGCCTCATTGATGTTAAATGGAATTTTATGAAATTATTTTCATAATAATATGAATTGGTTGAATTTACTTAGCTAAGAAGAATAACAAGAGTTGTGTACTTACAGGTGTTGCATATTGATTTCATTTTAGTGATTTTCTTATTGGGATGCAGATTGTCAAAGTGGCATTGACGTACCATTAAATTCAAATAGCTGTCATTTGATAATTATGTACCAGAGCTGGGTGCAGAAAGAATTGACCTTAAATTGAGGGAATTAAATACTACTTGTAAACCATTGGGGAAGAAAGCCCACTTAGAGTTAGACTCGATTCAATTCAATAAATCTTGACTAAGGGCCTTCTATGCTTAAGGAATGCACTTTTCTAGGTAGGTTTTGGAGTCCATATCTGGCCTCAAGGGCCAGTGTCTTTGAATTTTTACGAAAGTGGATGCAGAACATGATTGGATGATGAAAGCAAAAACTAGATTTTGACACTGATGTTATTTTCAGTTTCATGGAAGCAAAGGCAGCAGGTCACAGTTCACATGCCATGATATGATCTGTCATTTTTGGGCAATGGAGAAACTTTGGTCTTTTCATGTTGTTGAAATGGAGTCGAGGCTACAGTTCTGATCCTTTGTGTTGCTTTCTATCTTGCCAGCGTCTGGTGGAGGCTGCAGAGGAAGCACACCTGAAACATGAATTTGATGCAGACTTGCAGGTAATTGATTATAGTTTGAGTTCAATTGTTTTGTGTGTTTGCTGCCAAAGGAGCAACACTAGGTATACTGGGAACACCAGGGTTCAGAGGTTTGGAGAGAAGGCTCTTGAGAGAATGGTACAGGGTTGAAATAAATGTGCCTGGTTTTTGAGAAGACAGGACAGTGATCCTCAACCATTTTCCACTATGCAAGTTACAATAGGTGATAACACACACTTACATGCATGTAATCAGGTTTCCTCTCTAATTCTGGGGGAGTTAATCAGTCAACTGACAATAATCACCAGAGCTTTTAATGGTAAATTGATAAGACAGATGGCAGAATATATCCAAATCTCTCTTCCATGGCTACATTTTAAGTGACTGAAAGCAATGTTGTTATGTATGGATCTAACCTTGAATTGACTGTTAATTATATTTAAAAATTAAATCATTCACAGACCTGGGATTTGAACATCTGCTTAATAAACTTTTGTTGTGGATCTCATATCTAATCATGGCACACCTGTGTCTGGTTGAGAAGGACTTTGATGCTGTCATGTATATATAAAACATAGTTAGAGGCAAGAAGTGAATTGAATAATACTTGGAGGTTCCTTTGGGTCCCTCCAGAAGGAAATTTCATCTGTATTGTTATTTTGGGTTTGTGACTTTTCCTCACTGCTAGCAAAACGGGTGAATCTTAATTCCTTAAGTCTGTGCCTTGCTAGAACAGATCTCTTTTAGTGCCATGTGGTCACAATTAGGAAGTAGTGTTTATTTTGCTGTGTTTTCATTTGTATGGAAAAGATAAATCTTCAAGCACAGAAAAAGATGGTGATACCAAAGATAGCCTTTGGCTGTGTCTCTGTCCCATGGTTGTACCTCTTGTAAAAGAATGCACACTCAAATGGGGTAATGGAGGAAAGTTTAATAAAGAAAATATTTACAGATGTATGGTAAGAGAAACCAACAAGCAATGGTGTTGTACCCCCGGGCAAGCCACACTCCTGGCCTGAAGGAGCAAGGGGAGGGGGTGGTTTCTAGAACCCAGGGAGAGTAGCTATATGGAAAGGGTAATTGATAGAGAGATGGTGAGCTAATAAGTGTAGAATCTGGGGAAAAAGATACACTGATAACTGTGTCTAGCCTTCTGATCTCTTGCTGGTACCCACCATTGGCTGAACCCAACTGTTGGTGTAGTTGATTTGGTTCAGACTTTCTGAGGCTTTGGGTGGAAAAGGGTGAAAAATGGGTCCGGAGGGGAAACAGAAAATATCAAGCCCACCATTGGGGGTCATTTTCCGTCATAACACCCAACGTGTGAAGCAAATAGAACCAAGAATATAGCCAAGCATGAGAGGCTCCAGGGGGAGGCGGAGAAGCCCTGGGGACTGTTGGTAACACCTGGAGAGGAGTGGGGAAGCCAGCCCCGCTCTTAGAGCAGAGCTATAGAGAAAGAGCAGAGGAGTCAGCTGAAAATAGCAAGAAGCACCTTGCCTTCCTATAGCCACACCAGGGTCCATTTGTTGGTCACATTTGTCTTAAGTGTACCTCCCCTTCAGAGGGTTTGGACTTCTTAGAGTGGGCCAGAAGGGATTTGATGAAAGCACCAGGAAGCACCTTTTAGGTCTGAAGATTGTAAGGATCTCTTGAATGCATTGCCAAGGGAAACTATGTCTCCTTGGGAGTTCCAGAAGGCTTTTCAGGAATATTCTGGTTGTAAATGACAGAAATTCAACTCAAATCAACTTAAACTTGATAAGAATCTGTGAGTCCAATCTGATAATAAATAAATAGATAAATAAATAGATAAATAAAAGAGAAGGAAACACTCTTACAGTAGAATGCCAACTACTAAATGTAGAAGAAATGATGGAGTTATAAAATTATGGTAATAATTGATTCAGGCAAGAATCTTCAGTAGATGCTAAAACTAGCAGGTGAAAGTTTGATGAAGAACAGGACATTGACAGTCTCAAAGTATCTGCCCACAAATTGCTTATTAATTACAAAGGGAATTATAGCAGCTTTATTATGGATAAACCATCTTAAACAGGTAATCAAAGGTAATATCATCAATAATGACACAAAGTGCCTTCAGATGTGATGACCAGGAAAAATACACCAAAGATTTCCAAAGGACTCTTTTGGAAAATCTGGTGTTTATGGCTCATATAGTCAATTTTATTTTGAGATCAGTTGTCTACAAAAAGTAACTGGGTGAGGGAGGGAATGATTAATTGACTTGCAGGATTATTTATCCTTCAGGAGAGAAAAAGTGTTCTGTGGTTTAGCTTAACTAACTTTAGATCACTTTTTTTTTTTGGTCCATCTGAATCAATTGTTATTTTCTAAGAGTGCTCTGACTTCCTTCCTATGATTGATCCTTTACAGTAAAATTCTGGTGCAGCACACTGATTCCCTTGTCAAATGTGGTGGTGGAAACACGAATGCAGCATGAGTATCCCTCTCAAAAAAGAGACTGAGAGAATGGGTCTCTGGAGTCTTATAGTTTTTGTTTTCTTGGGAACAAAGAAGATGGGCCCAGTTTTTCCTCCCCCATTGTCATCTGTTCTATATAAGTACAAGACGAATATCAGAGGCTACAGCTGTGGTCTGAGCACAGAGTAGATGTTGAAATAATCTGTCAATATTACAGAGTGTCATTCACTCTCTGGACCATGACAGAATGTTCTCTGGGTCAGAGTAAACCATGTGCACTTTTGTGGAAACCTGGAAAAGAGATGATTTGGAGAAAATGGATATGCATCAAATAATGTATGTCTGCTTAGATGAAGGTTTTGAAGCTGTGAAACATTGGTGCTGTTATGCGCAAGTCTGTCAACAGCTTGGGTGTCAGCCCGGTTGCTCTTCCTGGGGTAGCAGGTCTGTGTACAGGCTCTGAGTTTATTGCTATGACGGTCCATTAGAACTGATCAATTGTTAATCTGGGTTCCACTGACCTCTCTACAACACCTGCCAGTGGATTGTTTTTATCAAAAAAATTTCAGAGTACCATCTGCTTACCATGAAGTAATGTTGAGGAGGTTTCCATGCTATTAGCTTGGGAAGAGCAGAGGGAGCTAGGAGACTGTTTTCCTACAGAAAAAAAAAATGTTTCTGTGACATTTCCTAAACTGTACAGCTTCAAGTTACATAGTCTTAGCCCCCACTCCACCATCCCATTTCCAAAATAAAAAGGAAATGCTGGATCTGCCTCTTCTTTCACTTTAGATGGGAGTCTTCGTGTCTTTGCATCATCATGTGCTTTAAAAGTGAAGAATTTGTTTTTCATTGGTAGAATCATCAAAAATTACCAAAAGGAAGTCATGCCTCCTTATTGTCAGGATTTTATTTATCATTTAAATTTCCTCTTACAGTTTCTCCAGAGGTTTAGCCTTTTCTTTATGAGCTTATAGCCTTGACATTGGTAGTCCCTTCTGTAGGTCCTAAAATATGGCACTAGGTTGTTAGTTCTTAACAAAAACTATGTTGGGGCAAGAGGCAAAATATAGCCTTTGAAGGGTAGGTAGCATATGTGAACAACCTACAGTGCAGTGTCCTGCACACAAACCAGAGCTGCGTGGGTTCATTGGCTGGAAAACTTTCTTGTGGACACTGGTGTCGGTTTAGCCCTTGGGCTTGTCCCCCTGTATGGTGTCCTGTGGGTTCCAGACTGGCCTCTGGTTTTGTTCTTTGTTTTGTTCTTTGTTCCCTGATATTTCCATTAGGGCACTTTTCAGTTAGAATTGATGCAAACACAGGCCTTGTTAAAATGGCATCTTCCCTTTTTTTAACTGCATGCTTTGAATTAACATAGGTTTTTAATGTAGAGCACATATGAGATTGATAATTATAAGAAAAGAGTTTAAAAACTGTCTTAATTATCACATATGATCATTTTAGCATTTCATTCTCGTTATGTTGATGGGGCAAGGGTGGGGTGGTGGGGGCAGCCCCTAGCCCTGATTATCCTAGCTATTGATGAATTTCCAGAAAACTAGGTCTGTGCATGTAGTATAATTCAGAGAGAAGCCTTCTCCTCTTACTTATTGTTTCTTTTGGGGTTTTTCTACCGGCAGTGAAGAAGAAAAAAGTCCTTTTGACAGTTTACTAAAGACCTGCTTATCTTTGAACTGCAAACATATTTTCTTTGAAAGCTGTCTTAAATAAGTGCCAATTGCACAGAGCTGGTGCACACTGGGAAAAAAACGAGAATTGTGGTTTTGCATTGTGTATCCTACGGAAACCTTTTTGATTACAAAGTTTTCTATAATAATTTTTCTTTGTTGCTTTGTAAGTAGTAGGTGGAAAAGGCCTGATGACATTCAGAGGGATAACAAAGTGTGAGTGGAAGGGAACTGGGGGGATGCAGTGTCCTGAACATCCCCTCCTGGTCACTGCCGAGCTGCTGTCACCTATCTTGCACACACAGTGTCCTGATTTCAGAGTTGGGGTGAGGGGTTTGGATTGGAAGTGATGTAGAGACCACTGATGGGAAATCTTGGGGTGGGACAGCTTGTGATACTTGCTGGAGCATCTTCCTCCACCTCGTTGCCACAGCCTGTTGCATTGGGAGGCTGTGTTGAAGGAGAACCCAGGGAGGAGATAGCCACTGGGAGAAGGAAGCCTTTCTCAGAAGGCTTAGGAAGGTTATCTAGCAAACAGTGGAGTAGAGCTGTCCTTTTCCTGACAGCATCTCCTTGCTGGCTAGTGAGGCTTTGCCCTGGGGAAAAACTGTATGTTGTGAAGGAGAGCAAAGGTCAGGTTTAGTAGAAGTACTTGCTGGGTGGAGGAGATGACTGCCCTCACAGCGTTTCTCATGTATTTCTGTTAAGCCCCAATCCATCCTTGCTCCCTTGGACTGAGTGAGGTGTTGAACTCCTTGCTGAGGGAGGAGGTGGAACACGGAAGACCCAGACCCCAGAACTGGAAATAGATTTTTTTATAGAGATAGCTCATTGACTTTTGTGCACTAAACAAGAAAGGTAGGGTTCACATCTATAGGAGAAAGAAAT